GTACTGGCCACCGAGGTAGAACCCGAGGTGTAAGACTAAGTACATCGGGCGTACTCAATAGCCTTGACTTTCGGTTGACTTTGTCGGTTTAGGCCATATTTTGTACTTATAGGGTTTGGGCCTTATTGGCCCATTAGACTTCTGACTTTGGGCCATTACTAGGCTATGGGCCTTATTGGATTTAGGCTCATGATGGGTTTGAGCCCATTTAGGAAGTTTGGCCATATTAGGCTTTGGGATGCCATTTAGGAATTTGGGCCTTTTGAGGAAATAGGTTGGGCGTTCGTTCTTGGGCGAAGTAGGAAAAGCGTAAAATGGTCATTTTACCCTGGATGTTGGACAAGTAATCTAGATTCTTGATTATTGGTTGAGACCCAATTATTAATTGGATATTATTTGATGGTGTTAGCGTGGTGATTTTTCTGGATCAGCAAACTAAGATTTTATCTGAGAGATTCAACAGCTTGAGGCTAATTTCTTCACTGTGTTCGGTGGATAGATGGCACCAATGCCGACCTATGGTATATTATGATTAGGATGCTATTTGTCTGCGTGACTCTTCATGTATGATATCTGTTATGTATACCTGGTGGGGCCATATAACTATCTTGTTTGCTTTTTATCTTTGTAATTCTTGCATGTGTTTATGTGTTTGCATGTATGCCGGGAGGGGCACAATGACAGGCAGGGCCCATCATTTACTGACATATCTGTTCCGCGCGGGGCCCGGTAACATACAGGGCCCATTTTATGTTTGTTATGTATGGTATGTGGTATATTGGGGATCTCACTAAGTTTCGTGTTTACGGTTTTCAGTTTATGTTTCAGGTATTTCAAGATCGAAAAGGAAGAGCTCGAGGTGATCGCATCACACACACCATGATTGTGTCGTAGTTTTTTTGACTCTGATGTATTGGAATGTTTTGATTACATTTTGCTTCTACTATGGTTCTGTGAACATTTTTTTGAAAGATGGTTTTATTAATCTAAAAATAATTTTTTTTTGTCTTAAATTTTGGGATGTTACATTTATTTTGTATGATTAAGGGTTAAGATCAATTCTCGCGGTTCTTATCAATTTTTGAGTTCCTACACGATCCTACTTGTATATATATATATATATATATATATATATATATATATATATATATATATATATATATATATATATATATATATATATATAAGAGAGAAGCAAGCATATGTAAACAAAAATATATTTTTAATAAATGTGAAACAAATTCTTTGGAATCAATATATATTATTTTTTATTTAAATTTAAATTAATAAATGGCATGATGGTAATTTAATATATAAATTAGTTAATCAATTTTAAAATAAGAGCTACAAGTAAAAATTGTATCTATTTTTCCTTACATACGTATTCTATTCACTCTCATTCTAGGGCTCCATCGGCTTGCCCCACCTCTTTTACATATCATTTCTTTAGTTCAACAACATTTTGATCAAGAAATAGAAATTTGTTAGTAGCAAAAACAACGACCTTACAACTTCACAACCCCCATCGTCTTTATCAGCCCCCTAATTCCTTCAACCCACGAAGTCGTCTTGTATCATATATTTTGCATCTTCCTCTTATATCAGAAAAAAAAACATTGGTGCCCACCTACACTCTTACCGACCAACCTCTTCCATCTGATCCTTTCATCCATCATCTTCTTTTATTTCAACATTCCTGACAAGCCACCCACATCGCACCACCACCATATCACCATTAATGAGAAGCACTTAGAGACCGATAATCCCCGCACCATTGTTGACCCCTTTTCAACAAGAATAACACATATGAAGATGGTGATGAATCTCAGTGAGAGACTGACGTCCACCTCATCTCGATACCACATCGCAGTGGCGGAGCCAAGAATTTTGATATAGGGGTACAAACATTGTCAATATATTATATGTAGTTATCCAATATCGGGCATAAAAAAAAACATGTTATAATCTCTTTAGCTGTGGGTACAATAACATGAAACATGTTTACAAATAATTATATATATATATATATATATATATATATATATATATATATATATATATATATATATAACAATTTTTTGGGAGTACTGTAGTACCCCCAACGCCCCATCTAGATCCACCGCTGCCTCATCGCCATCATCATCATCATCACTCGCCCTTCTTCTTCTTCTTCTGATACTCAATTTTAGAGCATCTCCAACCCACTCCCATTTTCCATTTTTCTCCCATTTCTTCCCTTATTCCTCTCCAAACATACCCAATTTATTCCCCAATTTTTTGGAAAATGAATAGTATAACATCATATTTGGTGTTATACTATTCATTTCCCCTAAAATGGAGATGAACTTTGAGTTTTTGGTTTTAGTTCCTCTTTTTATATATTTATACAAAACTAGTTTATTTTTATCTACCAATTATAATTTAAATGTATATTTAATACTCATAACATTGTATTATATATTAAACTATATTAATTAATTATAAATATAAAGTTTATTTTTTGTTTATCAAATTCATATAAAAATTTAAATACATACTAAAATTTTAAAACACAATAACGTATTTTATAAAAGCATATAATTAAGTGTTATAATTATAAGATTATTTATTTAATAGTATTGTAATGAAAAAATATTGTATAACACCATATATGATGTTATACTATTCATTTCCCTTAAAATGGAGATAAATTTTGAGTTTTCGGTTTTAGTTCATCTTTTTATATATTCATACAAAACTAGTTTATTTTTATCTACTAATTATAATTTAAATGTATATTTAATACTTATAATATTGTATTATATATTATATTATATTAATTAACTATAAATATAAAGTTTATTTTTTGTTTATCAAATTTATATAAAATTTAAATACATATTGAAATTTTAAAACACGATAATGTATTTTATAAAAACTTATAATTAATTATTATAAATATAAGCTTACTTATTTAATAGTATTGTAATGAAAAAAAATATAGATTATAGTATATTTGTTAAAACCAAATTAGTAGAATAGATATGGTTATCAATCTATATAAATTGGAAGAATGAAATATACAACAAATATATTTTTTAAGGGTAAAAAATAAAATAAGGTTGTAGATGAAACACTATTTATCCTATTTTTTCTTCATTTTTGAGGGGAAAAATGAAAATGGATTGGAGATGATCTTAGCCTTTAATCTTTGGATGTTGTAATTTATATTGGTATAACAATGACAAATAGCTGCTACTCAATCCTAATGTTGAAAGTTATATTCTTATAATCATACCTAAGATATGTAAATGTGCTTCATTTTCTTTTTTAGTTTTAACCATTTCAAAAGTATTGGGTTTTGTTTTTATAAATGATTTTATACTTTATTCAAGTTCTTATATGTTTTCAATTCATACCTGGCACAATTCCTTGAAGAAAAGGTTATACATTTCAGAACATATTCTTAAAAAGTTCCATATTCGCATACCACGTGTTTGTTTAAATGTGTAAACCAATTTTCTTTATGAAAGGGAACAACAAATCGAGCACCATATGTCCTTTTTGTGTTATTAACATATGTATTCTTTATTGTAGTCTGAATTGAACATATAAAATTGTTTTCATTCTTATTTTTTTCACAGCCATGTAATTGATTTAAGGGTCTGATCGGGTTATTTGTTGCTACCGAAAACATAGTCCATCCATGTTTCCGTTCCTCCGCAAATTACAAAGAAATATGACTTGCTTATTTAAAATAATCAAACACAACGAACGATTTTTTTTTTTTCTTTTTTTTCTTTTTTTTTTTTTTTTCATATGCATGAAAAGTAAAGATTTTGGGTTTTTATGTTCTTAACACCTTGGTAATTTATTATTCCGCTTATAATTATTCTTTTTTTTTTTCTTTCTTATAATCAATTTAAACCTACATGGATGCAAAGAATTTACATGGAAAGGTCAAGTTTGGTGAAATCGATTTGGACGTGGAAATATATTCTTGATTTAAAAAAAAAATAAAGTAATATTATTCTATATTGTTTACTAATTGATTATAGTTTTTCAGGATTTATACGACAAAACTGCAAATTTAGTTCTCGTGGCTTGCAAAAAACTTTGGATAGGGTCCAAAAAGTTTTCGATTTGCATGAAAGGTCCAAAATCAATGTTTTTCTGTGCTTTTAGTCCAATAAAACTTGAAATAACGGTTATATCCTTTCACTTTCTTTTTTTATTATTTTTTGCATTTTTTAAATACTATTTTAATTTTTTAAAAAAAATAAAAATAACTCTCCCTCTGTGTGTGTGTGTGTGTTTCTCCTTCCATCTCCCAGCCAAAACGTTAACTCTAAATTCTCCTTAAAGATTTAGTGTGTGGGTCTGAAAATCAAACAAAATCTAGCCACAAATTGGAAATACATTAACCAAATCAAATCACCATAGGAAATACATTAAACAAATTGGATCAAATGAGTTCAGAGTCAGAACCTTCAATTTCTTCTTTGTTTTTCAACTATTGATCTGTACCTACATCTCCTTCTCAACCCTATTCCCGGTGAAAAGTATCAATGAGTGTTGGTGAACGGTTTCTGACCGAGAAGGGATATGTAGGAGGGCAAGGGGATGGTAGGTGAAAGGTGCTATGGGACAATCAATTTTGAAAATCGCAAGACGGAGGAGACGAAATCAAACAAACATGCTCTGGTTTTCTTGTGAGGATAAAATATGAACATAGATTTAGAGAAGTATGGTGGTGAGTCCGATGAACTTTATCGTCCCCTCTAGATCCATAAATCCAGAATCTGAATATGGTTCTAGAAATTATTCATCTTTTAGGGGGGTCACGAGACAAGGATACGTATACATGGATGGAACAAGATTAAAGAATATAGAATCCAATCTCGTTCAAAGCATTATCAAAACAATTCAGGAGCGAAGCATCACAAAAATCGAAGTAGTATAAAATCAGAATTTCTGTCATTACCACCCACTGCTAATGTCTTGCTAGTGGTGATTTTCGATTAGTGGTGGCCGGTGGCGGCAACCACCATCTCTATGGCTCGATTTTCGGTGGTCTCTCTTTCTTCGTCGGATGTTGCTAGGGTTTGCAGCACCGTCTTCGATGATCCTTCTTCTCCAGCGTTACTGATATGACATCGAATCCTGCTGCGGTCATCAGCCTTTGTATACCGATCTTTGGTGGAAATTTTCTTAGCAACTTTAAACCTAAACACCCCTTCCTCATCTTGCAATCAACACAAAAATCGATACTTGGAAAATGAGGATAGTTTGATTGAGCACCGGAGGATTTCTTATTTGAACTAGATGTAGAAATCGTGAATTTCTTTTTTGTGTGCTTTCGATCATCAAATTCTTTATGAAAGAAGGGGAATATTGGTTATTGTTTAATTGGGTTTGTGTTTGTTGTGTGTGTGTGTGTGTGAGAGAGAGAGAGAGAGAGAGAGAAAGAGAGAGAGAGAGAGAGAGTTATTTTATTTTCTTTTTTTAATTAAAATAGTATTTAAAAAATGAAAAAATAATAATAAAAAAAGAAAGTAAAACGATATAACCGTCATTTCAATTTTTTTTGGACTAAAAACACAGAAAAACCTTGATTTTGGACCTTCCATGCAAGTCGAAAACTTTTTGGATCATATCCAAAGTTTTTTGCAAACCACAAGGACTAAATTTGCAATTTTGTTGGATTTATACACAAGGATTTCGGTGACAGGATTCCGAACTATTATAACACTTGATGGTCTTCCAACCTTGATGTGAGGTTAAGAAGTCATATTCTCCCTATTATTATGCACAAAAAAAGATATTGTTACTGTCTTATGCATCTTTATCACAGAGGACCATCATGATGCGTATGGGTGATTTGCTGGTGAAAGAAGGTGATTACATTGTCATACATTAGATGTACATATTTCCTTTATATCATATTAGCATCCAATTGATAGATTTAGGAATGTATAATTTTCGTTCTCATTGGAATGAAATCCGATTTTGTAAAGTATTAATCTGAATGTCATTTTTTCCTGAAATTGTGATTTTCTAGATTGTATAATAATAAAGTTCTTGGTTATCTCATGGTTGTGGATGGATGGAAATAACGATTATTTTTTAGGATTTGTGGTATATCAACAAAATCAAAACGCGGTGCCCTGTTCTTCGATTTTTTTTCCTGAAGGGAAGACTTGCGAAGCATTATTTCAAGGTTTACAAGAATCAAGTGCATTCTAACACGAATGATATATATATATATATATATATATATATATATATATATATATATATATATATATATATATATATATATATATATATATATATATATATATATATATATATATTATATATATATATATATATATATATATATATTTTTGTGAATAACTTCAATTCCAATTTTATAGCATAGCATGAAATAGGTAGAATTTGTAGATTCTTTATTGTTAGAATTTTTTTCATGAGAAAATTCAACAAATAACCAATTTTGGAAGTGTGTTTTAACCTTTTGACCATGAAAATTAAAGTTTTGAAAAATGACTATAGGATCCGCAGAGGGTGTTCTGAGGATCGACTAAAGCCTCTGAGGAACCGGAACACCTCTGCAGATCTTGGGTGTTCTAATTTTTTTTGTTTGTTTTTATTTTTGTTTTCGTTTATTAATATTAATTTTTTTAATACACTAATACCTTATGTGATTATTATGTAAAAAATTTGACAAAAAAAGGTTAAAAATAATGGGCATATGTTTAATATCAATCCATAGAATTGTTATCAGCGGATCAGTTACACCTCTGCGAATCAGCTATAGAATTGTTTTCTGCGGATCAATGTACACCTTTGCATAACTGTTAAGGAATACGCATAACTATTTTCTGCGGATCATTGTACATCTCTGCAGATTAGTGTACACCTCTGTTGAACTGTATACACCTATGTGGATCAGTGTACACCTCTGCAGATCAATTATAGACGTATTTAAGCGGTTTTTTGTGAGTTTTTGAGTTTCAATTACTAGTAGAAGTTGTTTTTTCATTGTGTTTGTGGAGAGATTTGTAAAATGAGTTTTATTATTTTGTGTATGGAAGGGTCGTGTCAGTTACTTAATGGAGATGATGTTTGCGTTAGAAATAATGTGAAAAAATATGGTTTCTTGAACATGGTTTCTTGAAAAACATCAGATCTTGCCTATTGGGTATGGAATTTGCCCAAAAGAGATTACAGATTCTTGGACATGATTTCTTGAAAAACTGCATAAATGCATTGGTGATGTGGAAGGTCTGATAATGGTCACAGATAGGGCACCTGCAATTGCTGTAAGTATTCAAAATGTTTTTCTAACTGCTCAACATGGATTGTGTGGTTTTCATCTAATAGGAAACATAGTCCATACCTTTTGAAAAAAAAAAACAACAATTTTGTTTTGGAAGCTGGTAAGAGCTTACAAAACTACTGAGTTTGAATTCTATTGAGGGTGACTTTATAATATATAAGATGATGTAGCAACATATCTCAGTCAAATTCTACGTGAGAAATGGACCAAAGTGTATTGCCCTACCATGAGGTATGATTATATGACCTCAAACAGTGCGGAGTCCATGAGTGTTGTATCAAATAAAGCAATGAAGTTGCCTATATTACCACTTCTTGAGTTCTTTCGCACACTTATGCAAAAATGGTTTTACAAACGGTGGATGGTTATAGTATGATTATGTTTGATTTTAAATTATATGATAAATGTCATATATAATAATATATGTTTGTTTTAACTGGAAAAAAAGTACATCAATGCTTACAAAGTGGGCGGAAAATATGGTTAAAATAAAAGGATTCAAGGATGGTCGGTATCCATTGTTGACAATACAACATATAAAGTGCATAACTTCAAAAGTGGCGGCATAGTGAATTTGAGGGAAAAGACTTGTTCTTGCAAATATTGGCAACTACTGATTTTCCATGTGGTCATGTGATAATGGTTTTAAAGCACTTGAAAAATGATCACTATGGGCATATGGCTATTAATGATTATAAAATGAAACATATCGAAGAACGTACGAGAAGATCGTATACCCTCTATCAGAACTTAATGATTGGGAGGTTCCGGATGACCTTATGGTTGATAACCCTCCTGTTATGGAAATACGTCAAGTCGGTAGACCAAAAAACACTAATCGTATTCCTTCTCAAGGTGAGGAACCAAAATTAAGAAGGTGTAGTAGATGTCATAGCACAACTCATAATGCAAGGACGTATAAGGAAATCATTCCAAAGAACCAAACTAAAACTAAAAAACGTACTGGGGTGTTAGGAAGTGGGCCAAAAGAGACAGAAGAGGAACCAACGCAAGCGACCGAAAACCAATGGCAACATGGGCCGGAGAACCAATGGACGCAACATACCGAACAACAATGGCAGCAGCAGCCGGACAACCAATGGACACAACATACTGAACATCAATGACATCAAGAGCCACATAACCAATGGACGCAAAGGACCGAATACCAACTGCAGGAAGAGCCATAAAACCAATGGCAGGGTTGCACCAAGTACCAATGGCAACAAGAGCCAGATAACCAATGGACGCAAGTGACAGTAAACCTAGGGACACAAGCAACAGAAAACCCATGGCCAAAATACGAAAATAGATCAAAGTTTTCATGGTTCGATTTGAATGAATGAAGTTTATTTCAAAGTATGTTTATTATGAAGGTTGTATGTTTATGTTTTCTAAAGTATGTTTTGTAACCTAATTAAAGTATGTTTATTATTCAGAATATCGGTGTGTGTAATTTTATAAAAAAAAAAATGGAATATATGTATAATTTTTATTAAACACACAACTTTTTTTAAACGGATAATTAAATAAGAAAAAGGACTGACAAACAGCTATGCGGATTACCAAACAACTCTACGGATTCCATAACAGTTATGAGGATTCCCAAATAGTTCTGCGGAATAAGTAATATAAAATCACTTTACCATGTGTATCCTTTCATTGATTCTGTACCATTTCTTCTTCATTTAATTTTTTTTTTGAAAAATTAACCCTCATATTTTCCCTCATAGTGGCTTCCATACCATAGAGCGCTAAGGATAACCTTCATCTAACTCGTGCATATATTAATATCTACGAGACCACTAGGGTGAATGATCCAAGTTATTGGGCCCGTTTAACTTATGCCTTCAACGCTGACCCTCAAACTGCCCCAGAAAACTATCGCAACATCGTTGACATCACAACAAAATGGTATGAATTAAAAATAGAAGTCTTGGTTTTCAACAATATTTATACCAAAATTGATGACGCACGTCCGAATGAAGATGAGGAAGTCATCATGTACGCGGATAAAGCGGGATACATATCCATTAGTGACGGGTTAGAATTCGAGTTTGAAGGCCCTTGGAATCTCTTAAAAGATCTCCCGTATTTTAATTTGTATTGCGTTTGTAGAAGGACATTTTAATGTAGTTTGTTTTTATTAGTTTATTTATATGCATCGGTTTGTATTACGTTATTTATATGTATTTGGTTTGTATTAGGTTATTTACAAAACTAGTTGAGTTATCTTCTACTTTATTCCACAGAATATAAAATACAAAACAGTACAAATACATGGAAAACATACATAAGTAGTAAACATATTACATAAAACATTTCACATAAAAAACGCTTCTATATGAAATACTGGTGGTTCTTAACCAGACTCTAAGCGTCCACATACTCGAAGTCTTTTCCCTCATGCTCGAAAATGTGATGATCTAAAATCATTTCTACAAGGGCTTTCTCTTTTGAGTAACAATAATTACTACTATTTGTAAGATGATGATACCATCGTCTGAACCATGTGATTTTGTTCTTTAACTCCATCCACTTACTAAGAATATCTACTTGTACCCGATATTCTCCTTGTCCAAATAAGAGGTTGAACATACCTGTTATGCGGGTCCATTCATCACCACTAAGATAATCAGGGGTATCCATTGTTGTTACACCTTCAAAAATGTTCAACCAACAGCGTATTATAGTCATCACCTCTCGTCGTTCATGGACATGGAGTATCGGATGACGATGTTGCATTCGTAGAAGTTGGTGCATTGGAGGCCATTTCTATATTTTTCAATACCAGGGTGAGTTGATACAATATTTAACCGGTATGACAATTTATACACTAATCTGTAGATGTGTACACTGATCCGTAGAGGTGTACACTGATCTGCTGATAACAGCTATGTCGATTGATATTAAATATATGTTCATTATTTTTAACCTTTTTTGTCAAAAAATTTATATAATAAGCACATAAGGTATTAGTGTATTAAAAAAATAATATTAATAAACGAAAACAAAAAAATCAAAAAATTAAAGAACTCAAGATCCGCAGAGGTGTTCCAGTTCCTTAGAGGTTTTAGTCGATCCGCAGAGCACCCTCTGCGGATCCTATGGTCATTTTTTAAAACTTTAATTTTCATGGTCAAAAGGTTAAAACACATCCCTAAATTTGGTTATTTGCCGAATTTTCTCTTTTTTCATTCTCGTGAATATATTAAAATTTGTAACCATTCTTATAAAAATTACAAATTTGGAACCGTATATTTTTACCGGAATATCTTTTATTTCTTCAAAGAATGTTTACATTTTTCACAAGATTTATAAATTTACAATTTACAATTTTATATTCTCACCAGAATGATTTTTAAAGAATTATTTTTAAATGTAAATAGTAATAATAAATTTGTTTCCTAAAAATCTATTATTAATTATTTTGTTTCTTAAAATAAAGATACATAAAATGTCCAAGAGTAAATTACATGAATCGTTTCTCGTGCATGTGTTAAAATGCACGCTCAATCTCTATTTTCAAATATTAACTCAGACTCTCACTGGTTTTTTAAAGCTAGCACAACTCATCCCTCCAAACATAAAAAGACTATTTTTCCCTTAATGATTTATTTTTTAATTTTCTTTTATTTATTTATTATTTTTAGATCAAAAAAGTATGCACAAACCTATTCCTTCCCTTTCCCTAATTTCTTTCCCTCTTTCTCACTAAATCTCAACAACCACCTAAACACTCCTCCTAAACCTTTTTCCAACGAGACTAACCACATCTACTCCTCCATCTCTCTTTTTGACCGTCGAAGAAGAACATCGGAATCCAGTGACTCAGTCTCTCAACAAAGTTCGATTTTCCAATGAAGCAACTCGGCTACCATATCATCCCACCAAGCTCTATTTGTAATGTACTGACATGATGAGAATGGCGTGGAGGAGATCGGGACTGTAGAAGAATGATGTTCAGGGAATCCATGGTTTTGTACCTCTATTTCTAGGTATTGTTGCCGGAAATAAACATGCTAATAATGGCATTGGATCTAGGGTTTTATGTAAATGGTAGAGGCAGCGGAGGTTGATGGCAGCATACAAGTGACAATAGATATCTGAGAACCTGGCTGATGATGGTGATGGTGTTCAACAAAGCTATTGATGAAATGTGTTCTCGGTGGTTAAAGATGGTCAACAGGGCACGAGTTGTGTTCGACTAAGGAAGATAATGAATGATGAATATGTGAGTGGTATTCGAAGAAATGCCATGAAGTTATAATTAGTTGTAGCTATTAAGGATTCTTAATTACACTTATGGAATCATCCATAACATCAAAATTTGTAGTAAGAGTTCATCACCTCAAATCTTCCATACCAATAATCACTAGTTCAAATCAATTCTTAATCTGCTTTATTAGTGATTGAACCTGGCTTGACGTATTCCTACTAACAGAGGGTATTTGAGTGGAGATGGTACTTGGGTAGTAAAGGTGGTCATTTGATTTCCGGTGTTGGTTAGATGGACCAACAAATGGGATTTTGGAAATAAGGTTATAGATTAAGAGCATCTCCAACCCACTCTCATTTTTTATTATTTCCTCCATTTCTTCCCCCATTACTCTCAAACCCTACCTCATTTATTCCCTCATTTTAGGAGAAATGAATAGTATAACATCATATCTAGTGTTATACTATTCATTTCCCCCCCAAAATGGGGATGAACATTGAGTTGTCGATTTTAGTCCAACTTTTTATATATTTATACATTTCTACTTTATTTTTATCTACTAATCATAATTTAAATGTGATATTTAATACTTATAATATTATGTTATATATTAAATTATATTAATTAATTATAAATATAAAGTTTGTTTTTTGTTTAACAATTTCATATTAAAATTTAAATACATACTGAAATTTTAAAACGCGATAACGTATTTTATAAAAGTTTATAATTAAGTGTTATAAATATAATCTTTTTTATTTAATATTATTGTGATGAACAAAATACAGATTTTATATTTGTTAAAACAAAATTAATAGTCTAACAGCCGGATTTTTATCAGGTATCTTGTTTATTATATTTTGTTGATTTGTGGGGGGACTCGGCGACTTGGAGCTCAGACTCGCCGAGTAGGGACGCGGATCTGGACGCGGGATCGCGCCTGGACTCGACGAGTCCAGGATATGGACTAGGCGAGTCAGCGCTGTGTAATGAAACCCTAATTTCTCGAGTTTGAGACTTATTTAAAGGGCCTAATGGCCGTCATTTGTGCTCACCAGCCCCTTGAGTGAAACCCTAATCGAGTGTGAGCATTTGGAGCTAAGTAGGAGGCCATTATTGACCTTGGAGGTGCCATTGTTGCAAGGAAGGAGAAGAGCTAGCCAAGGGAAAGCAAGAAGGAGCCACTTCTGTGGGTTTGGAGTCCAGAGCATCACTTTTGTGGTAATAAATCCGAGTTACCTTCTTGTTTGTTGTTGTTTATCTAGATTTAGGGTTTGTTGAACCCTTTTATGGCAAGATTTAGTGTCCTTTTGGTCCCTTATGAGGTTGGAACCATAGATCTGGACCCTTAGAGGTCCAGAGTGTCCCTTTACCCAAGCTTTTTGGGAATCAATGGAGGCTTTGGATTGGAATCCTCATGCCTTAGGTCAAAAACTCCATTATTGAGCTATAGGGTGTGTTATGAGCACCAAGATAGGAGCTTTACGTGATGAATCAGTCGAGGGAGGCCAGATCTATAGTTTTTGGAAGCAGATCTGACCTTAGAAGCGAGTTGGAGTGGTTGCATGGCATGGACTCGCCGAGTCTGTTCATCCGACTCGGCGAGTAGCTTGAAGATTGCCTTGGGACTGCTCAGCGAGTGGTCCAATCGAGTCATGGGTAGACTCAGTGAGTCAGGGTGAGTTGGAGAGGGATGACGAGTGGACTGAGTCAAACTTGGACTCGCCGAGTTGTCCTTGAGACTCGGCGAGTTGAGTCGGGGTGGCCCCGATTCATTCAGGTGAAACTCGTCGAGTAAAGGGGGGATACTCGACGTGTAGTAAGAGGATTTCAGAGGGTTGGTGAAAACGTCTAGACTCGCCGAGTCGCCATGGTACTCGCCGAGTCCGGTCAGAGTTGACCGTTGACCGTTGACCAGAGTTGACCTGTGTTGACTTCTTATAGATAGTCAACCTTAGAGATATAAAGTGTTAATTAGAAACATATAATGTTATAGGAGGATTAGAGCTCGGAGGATCGAGCACGAGGGATTTCCAGGATTCGTGAGATACCGAGATACGCGAGGTGAGTCTTCTCACTATACTATATTACCTTGAGTAGGTAACCA